ATTAGCTCACCAAATCCCTGTTGTTTCAAAGGGCCTACCCTTGTGCAATTTACTATGCTATGCATCAAGGTTTAGGCCACTATTACATAGAAACAACGGCCTTGATAAATTCAAAATATGAGTACAACTGTCAAATTGTTTCATGACAATTACTTAAACAAATTTATGTACACTAAAATGTTTCTTTTCTATTTCCTCTGATTTTAGTCCCTTACCAATGCTGTATGTAGACTACATGCTACATGGCTCAAGTCTGAGTGAAGACTTCTCTATCAATACATCTAGTTTTCTATGTTAGTATGTACAACATCGTTAGTCCACCAATGGATGCTGGACTCTTAACAAGCACTATTAGAATAATCACCACACACAGTCCTATATTATTTCACATTCCCTACTTCTCATGCTTGTATCAACATTTGCCTACTGAGGTTTACTCTGTGCATCTAACAAAGCGGGCTGTAACCCATGAACACTTATATCAAATAAACTTGTTCATAGCTATGGTGCCAACAAGAGTGCTGTTTTTCCTCCAACAGATTAACATGCTGTTGTTTGGTCATTGTAATGTCTGACTCTTTGTGACCCCATGGACCAGAGCACACTAGGCCCTCCAGTCTTCCACTGCCTCCCGGAGTTTGGTCAAATTCCTATTGGTAGCTTCGATGACACTGTCAAACCATCTCATCCTCTGTCGTCGCTTCTCCTCTTGTCTTCACACTTTCATCAGGGTCTTTTCCAGGGAGTCTTTTCTTCTCATGAGATGGCCAAAGTATTGGAGCCTCAGCTTCAGGATTTGTCCTTCCAGTGAGCACTCAGGGTTGATTTCCTTCAGAACGGATAGGTTTGATCTCCTTGCAGTCCAGGGGACTCTCAAGAGTCTCCTCCAGCACCACTATTCAAAAGCATCTATTCTTCGGCGGTCAGCCTTTTTTTATGATCCAACTCTCATTTTCATACATCACTACTGGAAAAACCACAGCTTTGACTATGCAGACTTTGTTGGCAAGGTGAGGTCTCGGCTTTTTAAGATCCTGTCTAGGTTTGTCATCACTTTCTTCCAAGAAGCAGGTGTCTTTTAATTTCGTAGTTGCTGTCACCATCTGCAGTGATCATGGAGCCCACGAAAGTAAAATCTGTCACTGCCTCCATATCTTCCCCTTCTATTTGCCAGGAGGTGATGGGACCAGTGGCCATGATCTTACTTTTTTGATGTTGAGCTTCAGGCTGTTTTTTGCGCTCTCCTCTTTCACCCTCATTAAGAGGTTCTTTAATTTCTCCTCACTTTCTGCTATCAGAGTGGTATCATTTGTATATCGGAGGTTGTTGATATTTCTTCCAGCAGTCTTAATTCTGGCTTGGGATTCATTTCTCAGTCCACATACTGCTGAAGCTTACCTTGTAGGATTTTGAGCATAACCTTGCTAGTGTGTGAAATGAGTGCAATTGTACGGTAGCTGAAGCATTCTTTGGCACTGCCCTTCTTTAGGATTGGGATGTAGACTGATCTTTTCCAATCCTCTGGCCACTGCTGAGTTTTCCAAACTTGCTGACATATTGAGTATAGCACCTTAACAGCATCATCTTTTAAGATTTTAAATAGTTCAACTGGAATGCCAT